GTCGACATTAAGTACACCAAGGTTATTTGATTAGGATTTTTGCGTTGTCATCGTCTCTAACATCGTCCAATTTCTATTTTCTCCAGATTTTCATCAACAACGAGTGGCACGACTCGGTCTCGGNCACTGAGGAGGTGATCGCCCAGGTGCAGGAGGGTGACAAGGTACTACTCTTTTCATCGGTTGTCATTTCGAAATTCACCAAATTTTTTTCTATCACCATAGGCCGACATCGACAAGGCCGTCCAGGCGGCTCGAAATGCCTTCAAGCTGGGCTCCGCCTGGCGCAAGCTGGACGCCAGCGCCCGCGGCCGTCTCATCAACAAACTGGCCGACCTGATCGAGTTGGAGAAGCGTCAACTAGCCGACCTTGAGGCTCTGGACAACGGCAAGCCGCTGGCCGAGGCCGAGTTCGACATTGACTGCACCGTCAATACGTTCCGCTACTACGCCGGCTGGGCGGATAAGATTCACGGAAAAACGATCCCCGCAGATGGGCCCGTCGTCAGCTACACCAAAATCCAACCTGTGGGCGTGGTTGGTCAAATCACGGTTTGGAATTATCCAGCCCTTTTATTGAGGTGGGTGTGGCAGTGGGCGTGGCCAGCTAGTTTTATCTCCTATCTAATGCTAAACCTTCACTTTTAATAGCTGGAAATGGGCCCCAGCGCTGGCAGCCGGCAACACCCTCATCCTCAAGCCGGCCGAGCAGACGCCACTGAGCTCCCTGGCCATCGCCCAGCTCGCCGTTGAAGCCGGCTTTCCGCCCGGAGTGATCAACGTGGTCCCCGGCTATGGACCGACGGCCGGAGCCGCCCTGGTGGCCCACCCGCAGGTCGACAAGATCGCCTTTACCGGCTCCACCGAGGTGGGAAAGCTCATCTCGAAGACGGCCAGCGAGACGCTGAAGCGCGTCACTCTGGAGCTGGGCGGTAAGTCCTGAGAGGGGTGGAAATAGTCCAAAGATGGCGGTTCTAATTTAGAACACTCCCAAATAATTTCAGGAAAATCGCCCCTCGTCGTCACCGAGTCAGTGGCGGACATTGCCGAGGCCGCGCAGGTCGCCCACGACGCCTGCTTCGCCAACATGGGCCAGTGCTGCTGCGCCGGCACGCGAACCTACGTCCACGAGTCGATCTACGAGGAGTTTGTCCGCCAGGCGGCGGCCATCGCCCAGAAGAAGGTCGTCGGCAGCCCTTTTGATGAGAAGACCACCCAGGGGCCGCAGATTGACGCCACGCAGACGGCAAAGATCCTCGAGCTGATTGAGAGCGGGAAGAAGGAGGGCGCCCGCGCGGTGACCGGCGGCCGCCGTCTGCCCAACCAGAAGGGCTATTTCATCGAGCCGACCGTCTTTGCCGACGTCACCGACAACATGCGCATCGCCAAGGAGGAGATCTTCGGCCCGGTCCAGCAGATCCTCAAGTACAGCAGCCTGGATGAGGTGATTGGCCGGTGCAATGCCACCAACTACGGCCTCGCCGCCGGCATCCTCACCAAGGACATCAACCAGGCGCTGAAGTTTGCCAATGAGGTGCAGGCCGGAAGCATCTGGGTCAACTGCTACGACCACACCGTCGTGCAGACGCCCTTTGGTGGCTTCAAGCACTCGGGCATTGGCCGTGAGCTCGGCGAGGAAGGACTTCACGGCTACTGTGAGATCAAGACGGTGACGATCAAGGTGCAGCAGTGAGAAGGAGGATGTGTGAAACATCCAATAAAAAGGGCAGGTTATTGCCTCTATTTTAATGCAAAAACAAAGACCTAGGCTACTGAGGCAACTTCAGACTGCTGTTTGAGACGAGCTTGGTTGTCAATGGAGGGCAGGTGAACCCTCGTGCCCGGCTGCTTCGGCAGCTTGTAGCCCTCCTTCGTCTCGAAGAAGTTGTAGGAGAGGACAATGTCCTCATTCTCAAACAGGTACGGGTCGCGGCTGTACTCGGGGTCGATGTAGAAGAAGACGGGCAGGTCGACCTCCTCCTCCGCATTCAGCTGCTGCTCCTCGAAGCAGAAGCACTGGATCTTGTTGAAGTACTTGCCCGCCTCGTAGGGGAGGATGGTGTAGGTGGCGATGCCTAGGAGAAAGAAATTATGAGTGAGTGGAAATAGAAATAGAACACAGGCTCTTACAAACTTACCATTAACCGGCCGATCGAGGTGATTTCGGGCGGTGTAGAAGGCGAGCACCGTCTCCCCCGGTGAACAGGTGATCACCGTCTGCGAGGGTTTAAAGTCCCAGGCA